AAAACTCCTAAAATATTGTTGTGCAGTGTATTCCTGAGATGTGTGAGTAGGCTGAGATTTTGTAGAGGAAAGATGCCAAAAACTAGGTCACGTTTTATAAATTGAGTGTCTTTTGGTACTTTTACAGTCACTTCCACAATTCTGGAATTAATTGTGATTTTATTTTTTTTAATGCAGAAAGACAAATCTTAATTTGTAACAGGGCAGTAGAGCTCATGACTCAGGAATCACTTCATCATGACTATAAATATTCAGCCCTGAAACAAACAGTCCATGTTTCTTTTCATGTACTTGAATGACCAGTGCCAGCTTCATAGGAGAAATACTATCAGATCTTTATTTGGGTTATTTTTGCCCTCAAATATCTTGTAGGGTGGGGATTTTAAAATTAATTTAAGACATAAGAAAACAACATTGTACATCGTGCTTTTAGAGAAATGGTTTTCAGTATTCATGCAGATTCCCTGTGTAAGAATGGTTGGAAATAGACTTTTAAAGTTTTATATTAATATATTAAAGGGAACATAACAGAACTGTGAGATGAGGAATCCTCAGATGGTCCAAGGCCAGGCTCTGACTGTCTCTTTTGTGTAGCCAGCGTGGCATACCTCACCCCAGCAGCCCTGAGGTTCAGACATGGTCAGGATCTTTGATTCTCTTGCAAGAAAATGAAAAGGTTTAATCCTTTCCTGTGCCTTCTGGCATACTAAAAACCATAGTAAATCTTCCTGCAGCTACAACCACAAAAACAATGCTGCATCTAGAATTTCCGGTGGGAGAAAAAAAAAGAAATGGTTCAAGAACTTCCCTCTCTGACAAAGTTCTGCTGCAGAACTTTATTGTTTTCACTCAAACTCAGGTGTGATTTGCATCAATGAGATTTTGGGGTATACTTTTTTTCATTTGCAAATAAGACGTGACTTCAGATAAATCTGTCTTGTAGTTCTGTAGACATCCCAAGACTCCTGACAGGGAACGAATGGATCTCTTATAGACCTCCAAATCCCAGAAGCGGTGTTGATTGTAGGAAATCCACTGTAAATCAGGACTGTTTTAAATCCTTAGTTTCTCAGCTTGTTTGTCAGGCAAGGTGCCACCAGTGTCAGCAATTGCCAAGGTCTCTGCAGCAGCTGCATTGCCAAAAATCAGTCTTTCCCCCTCTCTTTTCCCCCATCTCCCCTGATGACAAGGTTGCTATTTTAAAAACACGTCCTTTCAGCTCTTTTATTTGCTTTCTGTTTTCTGAAAAGGAAGATTTGCTTTCTTCCTGTTTTAAAGCAATGACTAGTGCTGAGAAGTTGCCTTTTTTAATAGTTCTCACATGTTCAGTTGAATCTACACAAATCAGTAATACCTGTTCTCTCCTTTTTAGGTAACCATCCCTCTACATTGTGGATGGTCACCAGAGGGACTTCTGCTTCTGACTCCCCAGAAAATGAAAGGGAAAAATAACATATTGTCCTTCTCTCCATGGCAAAAGCCCCAAAGACCATGAAAGTTTGTGGAAATGCAGATAAGCTGCCTAAAAATAGAGTTTGCTGAATACCATAAATTGCTTTTGGTTTTGGCAGCTGACACACCAGACTTCTGGTATTGGTTACACTCCTCTTACACAAGTTGTTGTTAGGGCTTTTATTTAGGATGCTAAAGATGGTAACCTGGTTTCTTCCCTGCTTGTGGGTTTCCTACTGGTACCTACTGGTACAGAGCCCCAGCTTCCAAACTACTGAGGTTCTGGTTTCTAGCCACTGGTTACTGAATTACTTAGACAAATCAGAAACATTTTAAGAGACAAAATCTAAAGTATCCCTCCTTTGGGAAAAGGATAGATACAGTAATATTGTAGGAAGAGGAAATACAGGGTAGGAGCCCTTGGAACTGATGAAGAAATTGTCTTAGTATGTCCCACAGCCCAGGAGAGAGCTCAGATGTCTGAGCTACATTGTTATCAGGTGAATTAAACAGAAGTTGTGTACACTTACATATGCTGTAAAATATGACACTTAATACTCTGCATGCCTGGAAGTCTCGGGGTTAGCCCCACCTAGTCTGCTTTCAGATGGATTGTGTTTCACTTAGATTTTACTGGCCATTGCTGACATGGTCAGTTCTGCCAGAAAAGACAGAGGTCCTGATGTACAGTAACTTCAAAACTGGAAAATAACTCAGTCAAGACACAAGAGATTTTACAGTAATTGTTACAGTTCTTTCAGCTTTAGTTTGTTATGCAAAGAGTTAAATAGTTCAAAGGCAGTTTCCTTTGGAGAATGTTTATTTGATCAAGTTCAGTGTGGCTTAGACCCCAAATAGAAATACCAACTTCAAACAGAGCACTACTATGAGAGAAGGAATAGTCTGTGGCCTTCCAGACCTCACAAGCTATGTTGGCTTGTTACACAGAGTCAAAACAAAGATGTCTCTTAGAAGAGATATACATTAACTCAGTGTATTTCACACACCACATCTTTTATCTCCCATCTGCTTCTCTCCCTGGTGCTTTGGGCTGTGACAAAGTCACTGAGATCCTGCATGAACGACAGACTCCTCAGTGAAAAGCATGTAGGGTGTGATTGGACCATCCAAGCTACTTGGATTGTTAGAGGAGGTACTGCTCCTGTTTACTAAGTCTGAAGTACTCCATCCTTTAGATTTTGGAACAGTGCTTATCTTTGCTTCTTGGTTCCCTTTACATTGCAGGAAGCAGGGTGAGGAAGAGCCCAGTGGGTGCTTCTCTTAGATGGAGCCTGGAAGATCTTGTTGGCTAAGGGATATTGTTGTTTTGTTTCTTCAGGTCCTTAGCTGGCTGAATCTTCAGACTTCTAATAAATGCACTAAGCCTTGAAAAAGCATTATTAATGCATGATGAGATACACCAAGTTCAGCCACTGAATATAAGAGTGGAACCCATGCAGATGCTGTTAGCACGGGAACCTGATATCGGGCCAAATCTGGAGAGTCATCTTTGATCTGCCTCCAGATCCTCCTCTTATTTGTAAACATGCAGCTAATCACAGACTTCCTCTGACTTTGATGAAGTGGAAGAAGCCGCATCCTCTGCAAGCTCTGGGAAGGGCTGGAATGCTGCAGATGCTCGGGATGCAGGGATGGGCGTTCCGGCGCCATCTCGTGGCTCTCTGGGAGCGCTCCTGTCCCTGTTCCCAGGGCTGGAATGCTCCGGTTTGCCGGGAGGAGGTGAAGCGGATCCTCCCCGCTGTGCATCCCCGAACAACTTCAGTGCTTAGGGCGAGTTTAGAGTCTGCGAGGAGGGCACCGCGTTTTATCGCTCATCTCGCTTGCTGCGGGCTGCAGGCTCTCGGCAGCGCCGGCAGCTCTGCGTGTGCTACACCCACCCACCACAGCTGGCACTGATCAGCAGCGTTTCTGCTGTCTCATCGGAAAAATGGAATTTAATATTCACCCACCTTCCCGCACTCAGAGGTGGTCCCACACAGCACAGCCGATGTGTTTGGGGGAGGTGGTGGAATGCAGCTCAGTCGTGTGTGTGTGTTGTCTGTGATTTGCAAACGACAGAGATTGTGGACTGCAAAGTGCAGGCTGGCATGGTAATGAACAGCAATGGTAAACACTGATGTTGCCTGGGGAAAAACAGTGCTCACATGCATACTGTAGTTAGAATACCTTTTTTTCCTCCTTTGTTAGTTTACCAAAAAAAAAAAAAAAAAAAAAAAAAAGTACTTCCTGACTTCTGAGCTAGTCATGTAAGAGCTACTTTACAATAACAGCACCAGTCCAGTGAATTCCCCTCCAAGATTTTAAGAATGTGGCAGGCAGACACATGGCCTTTTTGCCAGAACCAGCAGTACTTTGAAGGTAACAGTTTGCCCAAGACCTTTTTCCCCTGTTCACATCAGGCACAAAAGCCTTTTGTGCCAGCTAGCCTTTTTGCCCACCTTAAGTATGTGACATGGCACAGAGGGCAGATAAAATACCAGACAAGCCCGAGCCTGGCACATGCAGTGAGTGAGAGCCTGGCCACGGTGCACACCGAGGTGTAGAGCATCACTCGAGGCTTTCCTCTCAAAGGTGTGCCAGGAAATTCAGCCCTGAGCTGGCCTTGAGGATGCTTTGGCAGGTAAGTAATGCAAAGAGCTGCCAAACCTGGCTTCATGTGCAGCCTCTGCAGTGTAGACACAACCACTTGGGCCAGTGTCTTAGAAACACCAAAGTGTAAATTATCCAGAAGTGGCACAATCATATACTTTGTACAATGTGATTCACATATCCAGAAAAAGAAGTCAGTGTGCAAAAAAACCCCCAACAACCCTGAAAAGTTACATCCATGCATTTCCAGTTTCTTGATCATTCCTATCTGACACAAAGCTGCTCATATTTGTCATGAAATAGTGTGGTTGAAAGAGACTTACAGAAATTGTAAATATTTATACAATTTATCTGCATTTAACCTAAAATAAGAATTTGGGGTGCGGTGGGGTGTGTGTCAACAGTTATCTCTGAGTTAGGCAAGATTAAAAAAACCACAACCAAAAATACAGTCAAATATGAAGCACTAAGAAGTATTCCAGAGTGGGGGTATTCCAAACTATGAGTGGCTGAGAGGAAATAATACTCATGCAATTTTTTGAGCATCCACTAAGCCAAGCCATAAACCACTGCTGGAAAGTAACACATACAGTATGAAAAATTACTTCAGGGAGGTTTGGGAAGTGAAGTTTTTCTTCAGCAAATCTGTAGCTGTTTTGAAAACAGAAGGCAAAGGAAAAAGAAGCAAAATTTCTGAAACAAGATGACGATATTGTTTAGGGCCATGTTCTGGTGGGGTAGGGGTTGAAGGAAATGTATGGCTTTTTAAAAGAGTTCCTGACTGTGGTGGGTGCTCTAAACATAACTGAAGGATGGGTATTTAGAGCAAAACCACACATGGTGAGGTGGGAGGGACCACATCATGCTAGCAAATACAGTACTGCAGTGTGGGCTTCTGACTTTTAATATTTTTCTTGCATTTCTTTTCTGCATGGCAGTAGTGAAATAGGGACTTCTAAGCTTCTGAACAACTGAGAGAACCAGATTTGGAGAAGACATGAGGAAGAACTGGTCGGCAAAAGATTTCATAAAAACTCAGAACCTCGTGTGCCAGATCTGAATTGGCACCACCTTTGCTTTTTTGACATACTGCAGCAGTCGCAAAAGGCACCAAAGCAGTCAAATTAGAACATGCAGTAAAAGTTGTTTTGGACTCTTCTATGTATCATAAATCTTACTTCCTTGTGACTATTACTTACAGCTGTAAAAAACAAATTTGAAGTCTTTCATGCAGCAGACAGCCAAAAGAGGCAGATGCCAGGTGTTAAGGGCTGCACTGAAATGAATTTGCAAAATTTCTATTCACATGCTGGAGTGCTTCTTTTCTGAAATGAGGCTTCTTAGAGTTGCTGTCAAAAACTGTGTAGATTTTTTAGTTCATACATTACAAGTGTATACTCATGCACAATGCTAAACTATCAAGTGTTAAAAAAAAAAAAAAAAAAAGAGTAAGAGGTGAAAAACTTAAAACTGAGGACAGAGGGTCCCTGAGGAAGGACAGGATGGTGAGAGAGATCCAGCTGACTTGATTTCCCCTGCTGCCATGATCATCATTTGCAAGCTGAAGAGGACCTTCCATGGAGCACAGTGCTTGTATGTGGAGAGTAAAGAAATGGTGCTCTGGTCTTTTAAAAAGAATGGTGAAAATTTTTTACCAACAAGGAGATGAGTAAATGTGAAATAATCTTCACAGGGCACAGGGTGCACTTTGTTCTGGAGCTAAGCCTTGCAAAAGTTGGCTCGAAGAAGAGAATCAGGTGTTCATGCTCAGATTTGAACATTTTAGGTGTACTAATGTTTCCAGCTAAATTAATGGGGGGAGGGAATAAAAACCCTAACCAAAAAAGCAATAAGGCAGTAAATGTTCCAAATTAGGGAAAGCATGAATTATAAAAATATTAATTTCTTTTGCTTCTCTCAGACAACAGTGGATCAAATTAAGACATGTAAAGCAGACTAAACATGCTGATTATATTCTGCTGTAGTTACGTATCTTACTAATTCTACTCATGATTTTAAAAAGATGTTTCATTGTTCACTATAACTGTTATCTCAAGAAGAGTCTGTCTATAATTTTATTTATAATTGGCATAATTTTCATTACTGTTGTTACAAAGTGTGTACAATATTGTCTGTATTGCAGCTTGTATAGGGCATGTGTCTGTGCTTGCTTTACTCTTTTTGAGTTTATAAAGTTACTATACAAATGCAAGAAAAGATGTTCAGATATCTTTGAATGTGGTTGCTTAATCTAATTACGTAGCCCCCTAATGTTTCAGCATATAGATGTTGAAAGTATCAGCTCTATTAACACATAACACCTTAAACGTTAATGTAGGTATTTTAAAAGCCTCCAGTGCAGCACTGGAATGCTTTCACTTCAGTTCCAGTGGCTGTATGGAGCAAAGGGGAGGATGGTGAATATCTGGGCAAAGCCAGATACCACTGGAAGGAGAAGGCACAAGATATCTAAGAGCAAATGGGATGTCCTTTCTATAGAAAACATGAAGGACCATGAGAGTAGGACCACCACAAAGCAGAGGAGAGAAAGGAACACATTTATAGCATCGCCTTCAACAGTATACAAAGTGTAGGACATCTAGAACAGGCTGCGACTGTTCTGTAACTTAGCAATTACTTCTAGTCTATGTAGAGTATCAGTAAAGACATTCCAGGTTAGTTATCATCATCTTTAAAGCTTATTCTGTGCTTTGCAACAGTATCTTTAATAAAATACTCTTACAAATCTGCTTATTATTCTCATTTAATTCCATTTTATACCTGAGTTGATAACAGTCCTGGCAACAGGGTGAAGTTACCACCTGCTTCATCAGCTCCTGTGTTTTTCCCATTCACCTGTTAAAGGCAAGAGGGAAAGCAGAAATTAATAAATATGAAACAATCATAGAAATGAGAAAACAAGAGAAATTCATAGCATGCTACCGTTCAATTATGAAAATTGTTCACACTAAGCCTATCAGTAAATCTGAGAGATTAATCACATACTGATCTCTGAGTAAGAACTATTGGTCTTTGCCTGTGTACACCATTAATCTTGTTTAAGACTTAGCATAATTTTGCAGTTTTACAGTTACTGCCAATAATTGCAGTATATTGTTTAACCCCATCATAGCAGTTCTAGATAAAACTGTCTATTTTCATTAATTTACTCCCTGGACCATATAGAGTATCCTTTCAGTATCGTCAAAGAAGACCAAGGAGAGTTCAGGTACATTAACAGATAAGATTAGAACTCAGAATAATCCTGGCAAGGTGCAGATGGGATCTGAAAACATATTATTTAATAGGAAAAAGTGCAAGCTGTAACCCATAGATGTGCAGGTAAAGGAACAGCTGCTTAATTTCATAGAATCCTAAAATGGTTTGAGTTGGAAGGGACCTTAAAGATCATCTCATTCCAGCCCCCTGTCATGGGCAGGGGCACCTTCCACCAGAGCAGGTTGCTCAAAGCTCCATCCGACCTGGCCTTGAACATCCCTGAACACTCCCAGGGATGGGGCAGCCACAGCTGCTCTGGGCAACCTGTGCCGGGGCCTCAGCACCCTCACAGTAAAGGATTTCTTCCTTCTATCTAAACTAAATCTGCCTTTTCAATTTCAACTGAAAAGAATTGATGCATTTTTTTGGATCATATTCGGAAAATTAATCTGCAACATCATGATGTTGCAAATAAAGGTAAAAGCTGAAGTATCATCTGCTCCTTCAGAACCACTAAGGCAAGATCTGGCAACATCTCCAGTTTTGAGCATAGCACTTGAAAACTAAGATACAAGGTGCGTACAGAGAACCCAGCAGAAAGTAGTGAATGTCTGGAAACTAAGAAGATTTTGCTTCTAAGCACAGGTTGAGTGATTTTAAGTCATTTTACAGAAGAGATGGTGGAGGGAAAACAAAATTATTTTCACATATAAAATCTGATTGCAAAGAAAAATGGTACAACTGTTTCTCATATCCACAGTCAATATGAATAAAAATAATTGCCTTAAATTGCAAGACAGGAAATCTTGGTTAAACACAAAATGGGACTAAATGACCTTTTCTGATCTGATTCTGCGATTACTGGAAAATGTTTTGCTTTAAAGTCACTTGCTTAGGACTGTCAGTAGAGCTGGTACTGCCTGCAAGAAAGGGAGGCTCCAGTTAAAGGAATAAAGAACTCACTGCCTAAAATGCATAGCACACCCGTTTATCTAGTTAGCACTAGTGATACTAACTTCAGCTTTTAATCATGCCTCAGCAAACTGTCAGAAGTCTATGTGAATAAATGTGCTTAAAAACCACTTAATTATAAAATAATTATTTGAAGCATCAAGCATTAGTTTAATCAGTGCTGACAATTTCCATTATTTTATTGAATCTAATCAATCTGAGTCAGCCCGGTTTCAGTTGTGAGATGGTGTAATGAGCTATTTATTTATTAAAAAAATTAGACCTACAAATCGCATGGAAAATCCTAAAAGTGTAATCTGAACATACAGTAAAAATGAAAATGCCAGAAGGTGAATAAAGTCACTAGGTTTATAATTTTAGGAGATCTGACTCATTAGTTTTGAACTCCTGGTTTGGCAGTATGAAATTACAGTGCCCTATATTCTGCTGTTCTGAGTATTTCCATAGTACTGATCACGCATTTGTGTAATTTGCCAAAAAACACGTTATACAGATTTGCAGAACTGTATTTGTTATTCACAAAAACAAAGGAGCACTTATTTAAGTAAGATGATGTATTACGGCTGCCCTTTAAGTTAACAAGGAGCAGCTGTGCAGAAAACCTGGAGGTATATAAATACAAAGTAAGTTACATAGTTCCCCCCACATACACTATGATTTTAATGCAACACCTTGTTAGAAGAATCTTGTCATTTCATACACTGGTAGTTCTTGTCTGAATTCCAAGTACCAGACATACCTTCACAAATATAAACAAGATGAAAAATTTCAGTGATGGAAAGGTATTGTGACAAAATATTACATGATCTTAGAATAGCAGTTGCTTAGACTTTCCTGAACTGATTGCTGTATTATAAAATAATCCATTCTCACCGTACAATCTGATGTATGCAATTTTTGGGATAGTTTTACAAGAGAAATGGGTATTAGGGAAATGGATACGAGGGAAATGGATACCAGAATTTAAGGTGTAAGGTCTTCTGACTACCAAACTTAAAAAATCATTCATTGCATTTCACCTTTATCTTAATGATCCAAGTGGCTGATGTTTGATTGAACTATAAGTTGGGTTCAGTCCTATTTTTATACTACATTGCCTTATGAAATACGTGGGGAAAAAGTCTTCCTTTTATCAAGATAAAGCTAAGGGTTCAGTTCTCTGTTCTGATACAGATACTGAGCTCTTGCTTCACTGAAGAAATCTAAATATCATCTTCATTTCTGGCTGGGGTGTGTAATGGAGAATAGCCTACAGCATATTACATAACACTGCCAAACAGGAGACATGGGTGAATAATTGATCCTAAACACAAATAAATGGATCAAAAAGAGGACTGCCACTGCCAGAGGTGCCTAATTTAGCTGCTCTGGAAGTTGCTGTGAAAATATGGCTTACAGATTCAGGATGAGGGAATAACAGCAAATGTTTTGTCAAAGGGAAAATCAGACTTGTGCTGAAGTCCTCCCCATAAAGCTCGCTCTTTAATTTCTGAACCAGTTGGTTTGGCTCACCTGTACCATGATTGCATATGAAGCAACATAAAAGGGAATCATGTGGCTCTTCTTGTATGAGAGGATGACTGCATGCATGAGTTGGTTCACAAACTGCTGACAAAAAGCAGGCTGGTAATAGCTCTGCTGAGAAGAGAGAATACGTCTAATGAGGTTTTAGAGGTTGCTTCCTCTCGTTAGACTGGACTTTCTCCAAGGACATCAGTAAGAGGTGAATGCAAGAACATCACGTGAACTCCTGACTGAGTCGGAATGAAAGCTTAAAAAGCAGCTGGGACCTAGACAAATCATTGTACAGAAGAAAACAGCACCTGTGTCCCCAGCTGGAAAAGAAATACTTCTGCAACAGGCTAAATGACCTTCTGCAACAGGCTAAACAGCCTCAGTCCAGAGACCTTTGGATTTTTCCTTAGGATGTCTCTTTACACCAGCAGCATTAAAATGGTGTACTCATGTGTTCTTCCAAGATCTTTTCCTCAGATTTACTACACCAAACAATTCAAATGATGAAATAAACAGGACTGAGGGAGTACTCACAGGGTGAGCAGTAATCCAGTCAATGCAAACACCTCTTCAGCAGGTTGCCAGCACATCTGGGTATCAGCACAACCATATCAGGGCCACACCAGTTATTGGCCAAGGAAACCCCAAACAAGTTTTGTCTGGAGCTGTTGTATATATTTTGTGCCTGGGCTGATAAAACATAGTTAAAAGCTTTGGGCCA